CTATTCTTTTTCTCCCAATACTTCCAAGTTCTAAACTCTTGTTTTCTCCCTCTTTTGGTTCTCCCCCCGTCATAGGCCACTCCACTAGCTAATCTCTCTAATCCAATCATCTTCCTCTTTCTTTTTTTCTCTTCTCCCCCTTCCTTTCTCATGTAAACTTTTAACTTGGTGGGGATTTTATTAGAATTCCTCAATTTTTCCCCTTCTTTTTATTTTGATGATTAAGTGTTTCTTCTACCTCTCTCTCTGAATAGCCTTTCTTTTCTCTCCCTGTCACTAGGGGTGCAAATGGATTGGATCATGATCCAATCCGAGATCCGATCCTATATGGTCAAATTCGGATCACCCCTAGTCGGATCTTTGGATCAGATCGGATCCTATGATCCAATTAGACATCGGATTCGGATCCCCCCCCCCCCCGATCCAGTGTGTTATATATTTATAAGTATAAATATATAATACATATATATGTTATTTATTTATTTATAAATATATTATTTATATTGTATTTTTATAAATTTGTTACATTATTTATTTTTTTATAAAAAACATGTATATATACGACGAAAATAATTTAAAAATACTTGTATTTTTTTTGTTTTTTCTTTATTTAAATTGGTATATTTTATTTTTCTTTTAATAATTAATTAAATTTTAAAGAAAACAAGTCGGATCAAATCAGATCCGAAGATCCAATAGGATTTGAATTCAGATCGAGTCCTATCAGATCCGACCGGATCTTCGGATCATATCAGATCCAACATGAATAGTGTTGGATTGGATTTGAATATTCCCTTATTCGAATCCGATCTGATCCGTTTGCATCCCTACTTGTCACCTTCGAAGGAGTTCCCCGTAATGCCACCTCTTCCCCATTCTTCTCCTCCACCTCAACTAACTTTTCCAAATGCTCTAAGATTAGGTCCATAATTTCTTTTTCTTATATTTCCAACGCATCATCTCCCTCCTTTTCTAGAGCACTAAGGTCATTGTTCCAACAGCTAGATCTGCAAGACAAGTAGAAAGAAGAAAAGCACCAGTACCATTACCAAGGAAAGAAGAAGAAACACAGGCAGGAAGATACGAAGAGGGGAGAATCGGGGGAAGACCCTGAACCAATGTATCACTATCCTTCCCAAAGGCAAGCTCAAATTGGTCCATTTCCTTTTCTGCAACATCTTGTACTGCTAAAGGGGTATGTTCCTCAAGTGTTCCTAAGCTCGGTTTGTTCTAGACCTATTGTCTGCAATCACAGTAAACTTGTTCTTGTGTTGGAACTGTTCCTACCATCTCTTCTCCTTGTGATTCTTTCAAGGAGACCCCACTGTTTGCAATGACTTCTTCTCTCATCTCTTGAGGATCTAGGACTTCCGTTCCAAAGTATTCTTCAAAGAGGAGCTTTGTTCCAAAATGTCCTAGCTCCACAATCCTACAACCCTTTGTTGAATTCACACTTCCAATGCTAGACAGCTTATTCACTTCCTCTTCTTCTATGCCCCTTAAATCCTCCCAGCCTGTCTCATCCTCAGAGTCGGAGTCTTGTTCTCTGTTGTATTGAGGATTAGGCCTATCAGGGGTGGTTGAGTTTTCTGCCTACATTTTCTTCCATGGGGTCTAGGGAGAAAAGGACAACTTCCATTTTGACTTGGCTTCGCACCACAAGCCGATGGAGGGCTTGAGTGTGTCAGGGGGTCAATAGACTATAATTATCATCCCTCAACGACTTTAAGAAAGCATGAACATGATCTTTTAAAGAATCACATGGTTCAGACTGGCCCACCCTGGTTCAGTATCGATTTTAATACCTCCTCATAAGATGCTTTGTGGGCCATCTGGTAAGTTCAAACAATTTGAAAGAGTTGCCTTTAAAGGAAACTTGCCCATTCTTAACTCCTCCGTCAACTTTTCAGTTTCCAAATTTTTGGCGTCACTACTACTCTTCTGACGATCCACCCAACTCTTTCCACATGGTTACCAAACGTCCACGTCATCTTCATCTTCTACCTTCTTCCCTGAGCTCCAAAGCACCACTTTGACTTCTGACACAATCCAAACTATAATTTGAACTTACCAAGCACCGATATTTTTTTTGAAAGCTAGGATAAATTTTATTAGAAACCAGCAAGCATATAGTACAATAGCTCCCATAACAGATTACAAGCTCCAAAGGGAATGGAGCTTGTCAAATTGCACCCCATATAATCTAGCCATTGCAACCCACCCTTACAAATTCTTACTGCAAATGTCAAATTGCACCTCTTTCCCCTTGGAAAGTTGCTCCCCCAAATAGTTGTCTCCTATTTACTCCTTGTCTACAAGGGTATCAGCCATTACTATTGGCTGATTTAAGTGTCCATTCAAATGTTACCCTAGTTTTCTTGATAATTTTGTTATTTCTCTTATTGTTTGCCTATGGAACCAAAGAACTATGCTATTATGAGTAAGCCAACCCATCACAATCTTAGAGTCTCCTTTGACCTCAATGTTCATGAAATTTAGAGGCTTTCTAAATCTAAGCCCATGTAAAACAGCTAACAGTTCCGCACTCACTTCTGGAATCTCCATAGGAAATGGGACTCGAGAACAAAGCAATTACATTCCCAATGTGGTCTTTAAACACTCCTCCGATACCTAAAGCTCCTAGGTTTCCCAAACAACATCCATTGGTATTTAATTTGACAATGCTACCTTTCGGAGGTACCAATATATTACCAATTGTTCTTTTTATTGATAATTGTGCTACTACATGCTAATACCTTATCATCAATAGAAAGTGATGGAAAACCTCTAATAATTTTACCCAATAGGGCCACCCTAATGGCTACTCTCTCAATTAAAGCCTCCTCTATTTGACTTATCTCTCTGAAGAATGTTACATTCCACTCCTAAATCAATCATTCACAATGTTTCTTCTCTTGTATATCTCAATAAAATCTTCCCCTTTTTTTTTGATGAATGATAATAAATTTATAAATTCAGAAATCTTCCCCTTTTCTTCTTTGATGAGAAGGCACTATTGGGGACAAACATTGTATATCCACTAAAGTAGCCCACCTGCACCCAAAAAGAGGAAAAAATAGCTCCCAAATTGTAGACACGAATAAGCAAAAGATTAGTATGTGGTAGTTTCACAGCTTACTCTACAAAGAAAGCACATGTGGGGAGAAAAACAAGAATTGCCTTCTCTTTTGCAGATTCTCGAGATGTTGATTCTCATGTGTGCAACTTCCCAACAAAAAGCTAGGGCTGATCATTCTTGGCCCAGCCTGCAAATTTTCGGGCCAGGCTTGGGCCTAATACTTCAAGCCTGGCCTAGGCCCGACCCGGCCTATATATATAGTGTTGTTCCAAGTCCCACATTGCTCAAGAATGAGAATGAAGGCCTTGCCTTCCTCTATAAAAGGATAGGTAACCCAAGCCAATTCAACTCTAACAATTAAATAAGGCTCATGCATTGTTTTTTGTGCCATAGGCCTAAAGCCTAGCCAAACCCAATTTAACTTTGGCTTGTGTAATTTTTTTGTATGTATTACATTTACATATTATTAAATTTAAATTTTATTATTTGATATCATGGGCTCAAAGTCTTTACTCGTTAAGCCCATAAAGCCAGTATGCCTGACCTAGGCCCATGTAGGATTGAGCTTGGGCTTGCAATCTAGACCCGGGGTGCGGGCCGGCCCAAGCCCAGGCCTAGATTAAAGCCCTTATCATTGGTGCTAAGCCTGGTCCGGTCCAGCCCATGATCAGCCCAGAAAAAGCCCTCACCTTTAGAGGTGTGGGTCCCACCAAACAGTAAAGAAGGAAAGGGTGTTTGGTTAGAAGTAATGTTCGAAATTTCGATACGTACCAGGCCGTATGGAGGGCTTCCCAATACACCCCTATAGGGGGTGTTTCGGGGTTCAAGGAATAGACAGGCCTTAAACCAACCCCTCTAAACCAGGTTTTAAAAAACTAAAAATAATAGGGGAGTGATCCCCCGATACACTCCTACCGGCGTATTGAGCTGTATTGATATTTTGAACCTTGGTTAGAAGTGGAGAATAAACCTAGTGTCCATAGAATTAGGGTCAAGACAACCCCCCCGCCCCCCAAGGGATTCCAAAAGCAATCCATCACGAATCTTCCCAAAACTTGATCTTGGAGCCAGAGATTTATATGTTGAAGGAAGAGAGATGAAGATTGGATATAGCTTTCTAAGTAGATACTAAAGAAGATATAGAATTCAAGCTGGCATCCCACCCATTAGGTTTCAATCCATACATGCTTTTCATAAAAATATGCCACAGCTTGTCTGAATTCGGGTTATTATTTTCCTTTTAATTCTCCTTCAAAATTTGAATGAATTGCAGTAGAAATAAATTATTTATTATCTAAAAGAAATAGCTGAACTCTGCTCTATACCAATCTAATGTGTTCTAACAAGTTTTGTGGCTTTCCTGCTTTTCATCCCAAGATATAAAAACTTGAGATGTGTCCCACTCCATAATTGGTAACCCAACTAACCACCCTGTTAGCTAGAAAATTGGTTGCAGATGCCAATGTTTCCATGTCCCATCCAAACCAATAGTTGTAATTTGTAAATACTATGCTTTAGCATTGTACTATAACAAGCCAACCAGGACATTCCCATCAGAAGCACAATTCAATTCTTGAACTTAACGTTAGACTAGGTAATCTTCTCAGCAGCATGAACAACCACATCCACCAAATCAAAGTAACAATAAAAAAGGGCAAAATGGCCACTACCCAATGTTGGTCCCAGCCATCTGAGGTCTTGAGAGTAATAGACAGTAGTCTGAGTAAGGTCTTAACCTTTGGCCTTTTCTCGCACAATTGAAGGTAACAATATCTCATTGAAATGTTGATCTATATTATCATGTTAAAATTTGCGAGTTTAAAGTTCTTAGTGCAATTCAAATTCAAGAAAGAACGAGGTAACAGCTAATAATAACAACAACAATAACAAAACGGCAATTGAGAAATCCCGATCCTCTTACCGATGCCGATGAGTAATGCAAAGAACCATTTCACTGCAACATGATATCCAACGTATAGCCTTCCCCTCTGAGCCTGTTTCAAAATACAAAGCGAAATCAGGAAAAATTAACACAAAATTCAGAACAGTCTCCTTCCAACAAACCCTCATAGAAACTCGAGAAAGCAACCTGTTCTTCCCTATATGCGTAATTCTCGATGACTTCATAATCGAGACTCTCAACGTTGCTGGCATCACTCAGCCTCGAGACCACTCCATCCTGTTCTTCAGCATCTTCCGAGTTCGGTAATCGAGACCAGACGAGCTTCGCTGTCTCGATGCCGTTCTGAAAATGATTCGCCAGCATAATTCAGACTTCAAATCCCCCCCCGCCAAGAACAGCACAGAGCCAAGTTCAATCAAATCCAATACCCTAGATTCAAGAAAAACCCTAAGCAACTGAGTCCCGTCCAGCAGAACAACATCCGATTGATCCTCTGTCCGAAGAACATAGCAGGGTTCCTGCTGTCTACAAACCAAAGTTCGAATTGCAGATCTGGGATCAAAGAAACATTAGATCGAGTTGTAGAAATTGCAGAAACAGGGACCAGTGATCCAATGAGAATGGTCGTGGCCCTCGTGGGAGGAAGAAAAAGGAAAAAGAAAACAAAGTGGCGATCCCAACGACGGAAGGGAAGAACTGAGTTGGGTGAGGGCAGCTAACAGTTGCGTGAAATTGTATGATTTGTATCACGCTCACTGACATCCACGCACACAACTGCCTCTCTTCTCTAGGTTCGATTTCTTCCACATAGAGGTCACCGTCACATTGACTCGTCACATAGAAGTATTTCAGTTGGGCCTAGTAACTACGGTAAGGAATGGCCCCACATCTTCTCGATTTGCGATGCCACGTGTCCACGATCAGGTGCCTAGATATGCAAAACGTTGGGTAGCATCAAGCCCGACCCGACAGCGATGTCTCTGGCCCGTTTCCTCGCAATTCGCCGTTATGGCGTTGTCAAGCCCCGTGGGCTCGACATTAATGCTGTATTTGGTTGAAGGAAAAAGTAGAGAAAGGAAGAAAAAGACAGAGAAATTTTTACAAACTAAGTTTCCTTACATTTTCCTTCGAACCAAATGATTCTTTGAGAACTGGATCCACAAAGAAGGGAGGTGAGGGTATTCTTACCAGAGTCTCTTTCTCACCTTAACAGTCAATATTTATAACATTTTTTTCATTAAACCTTTATTTTTCTTTTAAATATCTTTTAATTCCTTTTGGTTTTCTATGTAAATTAGATGAGTTGGGTTAGGTTAAGGGTCAACCTAAATATAAACATTAGCTTATATTCAAATTAATGTCTAAAAACCCAAATTTACCCACCACTACATGGGAAAAAACCAATCTAAACAAATCATTACTCCTTTTCTTGGATTATCAGTTTTTTCCCTCTATTTTGCTCCTTTCCCTACGTTCAGGTGTTTCCTTTGTTTTTATTAATTAAATTTAATGTAGATTTGTTTAATTGATTGTTCTAGTTCAATAACAACATGTAGTAAGAAAGAACTTAATGCAAGTTTTTTATTCTGTTCCATTTTGAAATTGTTTTTTTTAACTTGGTTATTACCTCATGCTAAGCACGTTTTTTGGCTTTATAGGGCTACACAATGAGAATTAACTTATTGCCCCAACCCACAACTATCTAGACAAGGTATCAACTGAGTCACCATCAATTGGTTTATGTGTTTCTCATAATATAAGCTATATAAAAAGAAAAGTTTGAAGCTCAATAACTAAAAATAAAGAAAAAATCTACTATTCTACACTTAAAAAAAAAAAATCTACTATTTATTCGCATGCCCACTCAAATGAATAAGAATTAAGCATTACTTGATGGTGTGCAATCTAGAAGCTCCTATCTGGAGGATGATCTAGACCTTAGTCATGTAGCGAGTTGGACCAAGCTGCAAAATAGAGGATTAGAGCACCCGGGGCGGTTAACCTGACGAGGTCGCTCCGATGCTTAAGTTAGTACTATATTGTGATTGTGAGCTAGAATCTGAGTGCTAGAGAGCTTGGATGCAAGTAATCGTGCGTACCTGGACCATGGAGGGGTTAATGCCTTTATAGCCGAGTTATTGCGGGTTTCTTGGAACAATTCCGAGATCTACGACCTAAATGGGTGAGATCCGTTCCCGCTTTAGTTGGGGAGTAACATATCAGTCAATGAACTTCATTATCGCCGCCCGATTTGGACAAGGAGAAGATAAGGCTTGCCATTATGTAGTATGATCCCGCAATATCCGAAGTCTGTTAGGAAGCTACTGGGATTTATTACGTGTCACTTCGGTTTCTGGGCCCCGAACTCGATTAGCAGCCGAGGTGGCATTATGCCGAGGTGAGTTGTTGCCGAAGTAACTTTATGCCGAAGTGACTTTACATCAAGCTCCACATAGCACTGACTAGGCTCTTCTTGCTGAGTTGTCATCCTACGTGCAGATCACGTCCACGTGACTTTTATTTACTAGGTCATGCCAAATTAGTCATCATCATTAACCATGTAGGTTAAAGATGTTGAATCCATCCCCTTTCCTTGAGATAGAACTTTAGGCTATGTTTGATTTGAAGGAAAAGGTATGGAAACATAGGGAAACTTATGCAAGGTTTGTAAAGGTTTCCTTATATTTCCCTTCCTTTCTGATGAGGAGTAATTCGGCACGACCTGGTAAATAAAAGTCACGTGGACGCTGCACGTAGGATGACAACTCATCAAGAAAAGCCTATTCAGCGCTATGCGGAGCTCGGCGTAAAGTCACTTCAGTAACAACTCACCTTGGCTGCTAATCGAGTTCGGGGCCCAGGAACCGAAGTGACACGTAATAAATCCCAGTAGTTTCCCAGTAGACTTCGAATATTGAAGGAATGAGAGATCCATCATATGGATGGCCGAACCCTACAGGAAGGTTGGGCAAAATTTCAAAAATTTCCTCTCCCCTCATCTGGGAATCACATTCCTTGTTTTAGAAAAACTACAATTTCAAGGATCAATCTTGAACCCTAAATCAAACCAGATTTGAAACCATAAGCAGGAGAGGGATATACCTGGTACAGAGAAACAGTATCACCCAACGAAGGTGTTCACACCCAAAGAAAGACTCCAAAGACTTCTCCCACTAAAGATGACACAATGAATGTTGGAGCAGAATCAGTAGTGTTCGTCCAACGAACCGAACCCTTCGCAAGAATTCGTTGGAGGCTGTGAGCACAACTTCAAATCAGCCTTTCCCCAAAGGCTGATATCAAGATCTAATCTTGATCACTTCTGCTTGAAGAGGAGATCGAACTGGCAGTTATGGCGGCGACAGGAAGGAGGCGGCAAGGAGAAAATAGCGTAGTCTCACTAGATGCTATGTTCTCTTTTATGTAACTCTTGCTCTGAAGTTGAGGATGTGATCTTCTAAGAGGTTGCCGCCCCCTCCTCCTTTTATAAGCTTAAAGGGATCAACTCCTAATCCCATTAGGAGTTGCTGATCCAAATCACATTTGGATCTTAGTTCCCTTTAAGTGATAAGGATAGACCCTTGTCTTATCTGTAGATTAGATCAGCCTTTTTCTAATCTCATTAAGAGGTTTACAGATTTGAATCTGTATTCAGATCTGGACTCTCTGAGTGGATAGGGTTAAGACCAAATCCTATCTGCTAATCCAATCTCAGATTCACCCCTTTATTTAACTAATCAAATCATCTCAGTTCGAAATGGGCTTTAGGCCCATGAAATCTTAGTGCTCAGTATGCTTCCAAACTGCTGCCTAGTTGGGCATCTTTGTAAGGCGTGGGACCCAAACATTGATCTACATCAGCCACATGGGTTCAGCCCTACCTCTGTTACAAGCCTTAGCCGAATACACTGTTATGGACAGTGCACCCCCTGAGCCCATCACATGAGCTCCTAATGGGCCCAACACTTACACTAAGTGGTCCCTGGGCCAAGCCACCTTATAAAAGCCCAGAGACTGTGGGCAGATGCAAGATTAG